GCTCTGTGTATGACGTGAAAGAAAAGGAGAAGAAGGCTATGGGTTTAACATGTTGAATAGAATAAAAAAATGGGAAAAGAAATTATATTTGGGGTTCATGTGTTCTGATTAATAAGGAAGGGAATGCTTTTAATTTGAATTTGGGTTAATCACACATAAGGCCACTTGTCTTTTTGCTATATTTTATATTGGTCTCTAAAAGTTTTGGTCTATTCATGTTTAAGCCACTCTATTATCACGTGTTTTTAAAAACCAGTCACTAAAGTTGTGCGATTAATTGCGTTGAGGCTCTCCTGATTCTGTTATGTTTTTTTATATTGGCCACCAAATCCTTACATTTAATCACGTTTAGGTCCCTCTAATATTGCATTATTTTTACATTATAGTCACCGAAGCTCTCTGTTTTTATTTTATTCCAGGTGTTTTATTTTGTTATTTTCAATTCGAACACCAATATGTTATATTTTGTGATGATTTATGATTGTAACTTTCGTTTCCTTTATTTTAGTCACTATTAGTTTTTGATTTAGTTACTAACATGTTATATTTCTTGTTTTGTTTATTTCTAATTTTGACACTTTATTTTCTGTCTATTTTATTTTAATAACTATTTATTCCTGATTGGGTACCGCTTTTCTTTTTCTTTTCTTTTTGTATTTTTTTGTTTATTTTCATTTTAGCTATTATCTTATATATTTTTGCATTTTAATCCATATAATTATATTTTAATACTAACTCTTTGTCTTTGTATGTTTTATTTTGCAACTTTGTTTATGATTTTTAGGGATAATTTTAATTGATCAAAAGGTAAATAATTATGATCGAATTTTTTAATTTTAAATTTAATTTCAATTTTCGCAATTAAGACAATCGATAAATTAAATAGTACCGAAAGGGCAGTTCAAGGGTGCTATTCCTTCCTTGACTATAACCGACTCCCGAGCCCGACATATTTCTGGTAAAAACACAGATCAGGTAAAATGGTATCCGGTCAATCAAATTTTTACGAAAAATAAATGATCGGTGGTGACTCCTTATATTTAATTTAAGTCAAAGCTGTAGACCCCAGATTTTTGTCCTCATCCCAGTGACCTAGCTTAGCTAAGCTTGAATAACTTGCATTCAAAGTGACGCTGCCCCAGAGCATTAATGCTTGTTTCCTACCAATGCCTACAGATGCATGTGAGATATAATCCAAAGTATGATCACATTGCAAATTGCTATTTTTTTTTATGTAAAAGACGTGTAAGAAAATGGCTATAAAAAGTCGAATGAAAATGTAAGAAAAGGGGGCCGGATTCCTCTCGTTTTTTAGAAGAAAAAAGAGCAATAAAATACAGAATTTTTCGGCAATCAAAACATAATCAAATTCTAAGGTATTCTAGTTTGTATTTTAGTTTCTTTAGTTTATTTATTCAATTCGAATGCAACTAATAATAAGAATTTTAGTTTATAATTTTGTTAGTTGTTAAAGTAAATTCCATGAGTTCTAAAGAAAAATTAATTAAAATAGAGATAGGAAGTTAGGTTAGCTTGCTTTGGTGTTCGTCGGAGTAGGGTGTCGCCGTCGTCGGGTCTAGAGTCGAATGGTCAGATTCACCGAAGATCCAGACGCCATGGATGCTCTGTGTATGGTGTAAAAGAAAAGAAGAAGAAGGCTATGGGTTTAACATGTTGAGTAGAATAAAAAAATGGGAAAAGAAATTATATTTGGGGTTCACGTGTTCTGATAAATAAGGAAATGGAATGTTTTTATTTTGACTTTAGGTTAATCACACATAAGGCCACTTGTCTTTTTGCTATATTTTATATTGGTCTCTAAAAGTTTTGGTCTATTCATGTTTAAGCCACTCTATTATCACGTGTTTTTAAAAACCAGTCACTAAACTTGTGCGATTAATTGCGTTGAGGCCCTCCCGATTCTGTTGTGTTTTTATATAGATGGCCACCAAATCCTTACATTTAATCACGTTTAGGTCCCTCTAATATTACATTATTTTTACATTATAGTCACCGAAGCTCTCTGTTTTTATTTTATTCCAGGTGTTTTATTTTTTTATTTTCAATTCGATCACCAATATGTTATATTTTGTGATGATTTATGATTGTAACTTTCATTTCCTTTATTTTAGTCACTATTAGTTTTGGATTTAGTTACTAACATGTTATATTTCTTGTGTTGTTTATTTCTAATTTTGACACTTTATTTTCTGTCTATTTTATTTTAGTAACTATTTATTCCTGATTGGGTACTGCTTTTCTTTTTCTTTTCTTTTCTTTTTGTATTTTTTTGTTTATTTTCATTTTAGCTATTATCTTATATATTTTTGCATTTTAACCCAAATAATTATATTTTATTTCAATTCATGCTCCCGTATTTATTGTATTTAGATCCATGTTTACTTTTTTTTTATTTTGATCTTAATATTAACTCTTTGTCTTTGTATGTTTTATTTTGCAACTTTGTTTATGATTTTTAGGGATAATTTTAATTGATCAAAAGGTAAATAATTATGATCGAATTTTTTAATTTTAATTTTAATTTCAATTTTCGCAATTAAGACAACCGATAAATTAAATAGTACCGAAAGGGCAGTTCAAGGGTGCTATTCCTTCCTTGACTATAACCGACTCCCGAGCCCGACATATTTCTGGTAAAAACACAGATCAGGTAAAATGGTATCCGGTCAATCAAATTTTTACGAAAAATAAATGATCGGTGGTGACTCCTTATATTTAATTTAAGTCAAAGCTGTAGACCCCAGATTTTTGTCCTCATCCCAGTGACCTAGCTTAGCTAAGCTTGAACAACTTGCATTCAAAGTGACGCTGCCCCAGAGCATTAATGCTTGTTTCCTACCAATGCCTACAGATGCATGTGAGATATAATCCAAAGTATGATCACATTGCAAATTGCTATTTTTTTTATGTAAAAGACGTGTAAGAAAATGGCCATAAAAAGTCGAATGAAAATGTAAGAAAAGGGGGCCGGATTCCTCTCGTTTTTCAGAAGAAAAAAGAGCAATAAAATACAGATTTTTTCGGCAATCAAAACATAATCAAATTCTAAGGTATTCTAGTTTGTATTTTAGTTTCTTTAGTTTATTTATTCAATTCGAATGCAACTAATAATAAGAATTTTAGTTTATAATTTTGTTAGTTGTTAAAGTAAATTCCATGAGTTCTAAAGAAAAATTAATTAAAATAGAGATAGGAAGTTAGGTTAGCTTGCTTTGGTGTTCGTCGGAGTAGGGTGTCGCCGTCGTCGGGTCTAGAGTCGAATGGTCAGATTCACCGAAGATCCAGACGCCATGGATGCTCTGTGTATGGTGTGAAAGAAAAGAAGAAGAATGCTATGGGTTTAACATGTTGAATATAATAAAAAAAGGGGAAAAGAAATTATATTTGGGGTTCACGTGTTCTGATCAATAAGGAAAGGGAATGCTTTGAATTTGACTTTGGGGGTTAATCACACATAGTGTCACTTGTCTTCTTGCTATTTTTTATATTGATCTCTAAAAGTTTTGGTCTATTCATGTTTAAGTCACTCCATTATCACGTGTTTTTAAAAATTAGTCACTAAACTTGTTCGATTAATTGCGTTGAGGCCCTCCCGATTCTGCTGTGTTTTTATATATTGGCCACCAAATCCTTACATTTAATCACGTTTAGGTCCCTCTAATATTACAGTATTTTTACATTATAGTCACCGAAGCTCTATGTTTTTGTTTTATTTCAGGTGTTTTATTTTCGTTATTTTCAATTTGATCACCAATATGTTATATTTTGTGATGATTTATGCTTGTAACTTTCATTTCCTTTATTTTTGTCACCATTAGTTTTTGATTTAGTTACTAACATGTTATATTTCTTGTTTTGTTTATTTCTAATTTTGACACTTTATTTTCTGTCTATTTTATTTTAGTAACTATTTATTCCTGATTGGGTACTGCTTTTCTTTTTCTTTTTCTTTTTTTGTATTTTTATCTTTGTTTATTTTCATTTTAGCTATTATCTTATATATTTTTGCGTTTTAATCCATATAATTATATTTTATTACAATTCAGGCTCCTGTATTTATATTATTTTGATCCATGTTTACTTTTTTTATTTCAATCTTAATACTAACTCTTTGTCTTTGTATGTTTTATTTTGCAACTTTGTTTATGATTTTTAGGGATAATTTTAATTGATCAAAAGGTAAATAAGTATTATCGAATTTTTTAATTTTAATTTTAATTTCAATTTTCGCAATTAAGACAACCGATAAATTAAATGGTACCGAAATGGCAGTTCAAGGGTGCTAATCCTTCCTTGATTGTAACCGACTCCCGAGCCCGACATATTTCTAGTAAAAACACAGATTAGGTAAGATGGTATCCGGTCAACCAAATTTTTACGAAAAATAAATGATCGGCGGCAAGTCCTAATATTTAATTTAAGTCGAAGCTAAATTTCGGGCTCACCCGAAAGGCAGTTGCGAAAATACTCAAGCCAAAAAATAATATAAATTTACCGTATATATTTAGGGATAAATGTAATAATTATCCTCTATATTAATTTTTTTCAATTAGATCCATATTTTATTGAATAAAAATAATATTTTTTTATAAATATACTTATTTTTTGTTGGGTCAAGTTGAGGGTCGGGTTTCAAATAAAAGGTATATGTTTTCGAATCGGGTTAGATTGAAGAATCGGGTTAGATTGAAATAAAACCTAACCCGTGCCTATCCCTACAGACCTTTACCGTAATGCCATGCTTCCGCAGTTTAAAACGTGAGGGGCAACTACAAGACAGATAAGATCATGTTTTAAATGTTTAACAAACAAAGATCATAAAAAGGATGCAATGCAGCTGTTCAATATGTATCGCATTTCTTTACCCTCACGTCATTTAAAGTTCACAGAATCCCCTAATATAAGTTTTCAAGTCAAAGAATAAAAGTTTGATTGTTCAGTAAGAAATGGTATAAGTTTGAAATGTATACCAACTAAAGAAATGACGCAAGCATTAAACCAGGACAGCTTAAGGTAAATTCACACAACAGCATCTGAGTTATTACAAACATGGGTGCTTCCCTTTTTATTTACATACACAACAAGACTCGACAGTTATGGTTTTAACCACACGACATCGTTTACAAGCAGGATACAGATAAACGACCTGATAGATTATTCAGTCTAGGTGGATATTTATAATTGGTAAGTGAAATATAGTCTTGTTCTTGTCCAAGCAAACACAGGAGAATGGCCCCTGTGATTGAGAAGATGAGTCGGGGCAATGCTAGTCAGTCTTTAACCTGAAATTTCATGATAAAATAAAATAACATATAATCAAATTTAGTGGAAAAAAGCAACATTCTGATAAAATAAGTATTCAAAAAGCTATGTCCGAGATGTTACCCTGATCAATAAAGAACATAAAATCGTTAACTTGTCTACATTCGAAGGAGTATTTATTCAACAGATAATGCTGTTGAGTTAAAAATAGGATAGAAAGAGCTTCAGCCGCACGTTCTTGGAGGCTTGTGGTAATTGCATATACAGTGGGCATGGAGATTTTTTTATGTAACTTGGAAAGGCTACTTAGATTTTACAAACAAGACAAAGAAACATCATCATTCACAACAATGATTGCTGTTAACATGATGAATTAAGTTGTTTCTGTCGATGACAAAAGCCGGCAAGTAGTTTGATCCAGAATATGAGAACCATTTTATATGTTTTGGCACCTCTCATAGATGCCTAGGAGCTTCCTATTAAGTTCATGAGTATGACAGATAAGTTCAAATTCGAAATTTTCAAACACGAAAATGTTGCGGAAGACGGCTATCGGATAGAGTAAAATCGCAACTAATAATTTGAGAAAATAAAAATGAAGATAAAAGAGACACAAAATTTACGTGGAAAACTCCTAAATTATATAGGGTAAAAACCACGGGCAACGGTAGAAGAATTTCACTATGAGAAAAATAGGAATTACAACCTCTCTCGATCTACCAAGGAGAAAACAATGATAATTCTCTCTTGATAAAAAGGAGAAAACAACTCTCAAGAAACTCTCTAAATTCTCTCTAGTATTGGAAGAAAGCTAGAATGCTTTGGGATGGTTTTGAAGCTAAATGAGGTAGGGTATTTATAGTTGAAGCTTTAAGGACTAATTTGTAAATACCCTAAATTACAATGACTAATTGCATAGTTTTACCATCTAAAATTTTCAACAATTTAGTGGCCAAATTTGACCAATTTTGCCGTCCCATTAATGCTACCAAATTGCCACTCATAATGTTGACTATTGATGCAATTTGGTGTGCCAATTTTCAACAATCTCCCACATGAAGATTTAATTGGAACAATCACATCTTCACACCATTCTTTCTACCTTTTACCTTTCATGTTGCTTAAGTCTCTGACAGGCCACAGGAGAATCGACACCAGGTAAATTTATCAGCGTTGATCGCCTTCGTCATAAAATATACTATGTTGTCTTTGGTATGGATCTTCTGCATATCTACTGTCCCTTCTTCCACATTTTTCACGAATGAAATGGAACTGAACTCGTATGTGCTTTGTCCTTGAATGAAATGCTGGATTCCTTGCTAGATGCAAGGCGCTTTGACTGTCACAAAACAGAGAGACATACTCTTGATTGTGCCCAAGCTCCTCCAATAGCATCTTGAACCATATTGCTTCTTTACTGGCTTGTGTAGCTGCTACATATTCTGCTTCTGTTGTGGATGTAGCCACAACTGACTGCAATTTTGAAACCCAACTTACAGCTCCACCGGCAACTTTAAACACATATCCTGTAGTAGATTTGCTTTTATCCAAATCCCCTACATAGTCAGAATCTACATACACATTGATTAGTAAGTTTGATCCTCCATAATATAATGCAATATTTGAGGTCCCTTTGATGTATCTCAGGATCCTCTTTACTGTATTTCAATGCTCTTTGCCTGGATTCGCCATGTACCGACTAACCACTCCCACTGCTTGTGCAATGTCTGGCCTTGTGCATATCATAGCGAACATTAAACTTCCCACTGCTGATGCATACGGTACTCGAGACATCTCCATCCTCTCTTCTTCACTGCTAGGACTCATACTGGAGGATAATTTGAAGTTAATAGGAAGAGGGGTAGAAATTGACTTACAATCTTGCATGCTGAATCGTGACAAGATCTTCTTCAAGTAATTCTTTTGTGAAATCCAAATCTTCCTATTACTTCTGTCTCGGTGAATTTGCATCCCTAGAATCTTGTTTGCTGATCCCAAGTTCTTCATTTCAAATTCCCTAGCCAGATGTGCCTTCAATTCTTTAATATGATCTTTGTTGGGTCCTGCAACCAACATGTCATCCACAAACAACAACAATATAACAAAATCGTTATCACCAGACCTCTTGAAATAAGCACAAGGGTCTGCATTAAGTCTATTGTATCCAAGACACATAATGAAGGAATAAAATCTCTTATACCAACAACTCGGCGTCTGCTTTAGACCGTACAGAGATTTGTTCAACCTGCAAACCAAGTTCTTCTTTTCTTTTTCTTCAAAATCTTCAGGCTGGAGCATGCAAATCTCTTATTCAAGATTTCCATGAAGAAAAGCTGTTTTAACATCTAACTGCTCTAGATGTAAGTTCAATGTAGCACGCATTGCCAAAACTACTCGAACTGTTGTTAGTCGAACCACAGGAGAAAATATTTCATTGAAATCAATACATTCTTTTTGAGCATATCCTTTGACCACCAGTCTTGCACGATACCTCTCAACTTGATTGTCACCATTTCGTTTGATTTTGAAGACCCATTTGTTACCAATTCGCTTCTTTCCTTGTGGTAGTGGCATAAGGTCCCATGTATTATTTTTATGAAGGGCTTCTATTTCTTCTTGCATCGCCATCATCCACAGTGAAATATCTGAGCTGTTTATTGCCTCCTGGTATGTTGATGGCTCACCGTCCTCTGTTAAAAGATAGTATGCAATATTACCTTCTATAACATAATCTGAGTGTCAATTGGGACGTCTTCTCACATGATCTGATTGACGAGTTGTTGGAGCTTCAGAACTCTCTGGTTCTTGTTCATCATGTGCTGGTTCTGCTTCAGAATAATCTCCTTGTTCAACCTCCTTTTCCACATGTATCTGTGTAGTCTCTGACTTTTCAGCGCTATCATCATCTTCTTTTCTTTGTAATTTATCTTCTACAAAGATAACATCCCTGCTGATGATCACTTTGCGGGAAGTGGGGTCCCACAAGCGATACCCCTTTACACCATCAGCATACCCTAAGAATTTGCATTTCCTGGATTTTGGATCTAGCTTTGAAATTTCTTGGGAGTTTTACATCACGTACATAATACTTCCAAATACATGGAGGTTTGAATAATCAGCTGGTTTACCAGTCCACATCTCCATTGGTGTCTTCAGCTCTATTGCAGTTGATGGAGCTCGATTCACCAAATAACAAGCGGTATTGACTGCTTCTGCCCAGAATGATTTTTCTAGGTCTGCATCCCTCAACATTGCTCTTGTTCTTTCTAACAAGGTTCTGTTCATCTGCTCTGTCACTCCATTTTGTTGAGGAGTGTCCGCCACTGTGAATTGTCTTTTGATGCATTCTTTCCTGCAAAAGTCATCAAATTCTTCGCTTGTGTATTCTCTTCCATTATCTATTCTGAAACACTTGATCTTATTTCCAGAATCAAGTTCCACCCGCGCTTTGAAGTTTTTTAAAGTTGAAAACACATCTGACTTCTTCTTAATAGGGTACACCCAGCATCTCCTAGAGTAGTCATTAATAAATGAGACAAAGTATTTTGCTCCGCCTAGGGATATAACCGGTGCTTGCCATATGTTAGAGTGAACCAATTCTAGAACACTTTTGCCTCTAGAATTTGACGTGTTGAATTTCAACCGGTGCTGCTTACTTGTTATGCAATGCTCACACAAGGTAAGTAATACCTTTGTTAAGCCTGGAAGTAGGTTTTGCTCCACAAGGACTTTCATTCCTTGTTCTGACATGTGTCCAAGTTTCTGATGCCATAACATTGCAGAATTTGAACTACATGAGGCAACAGAGGCTTCTGCTTCTAGCAAAGTCTCTCCTTTCAGCATGTACAAGTTTGCAGCTATCTTTTCGCCTTTCAGCATGTACAAGTTTGCAGCTATCTTTTCGCCTTTCAGCACCACAAGCACTCCACGGAACACATTCGTGATTCCTTTTCGTGTTTCAATCTTGCTTGCATTATTATCCAACAATCCGTAGGATAATAAATTTTTCTTCAAACCTTTCACGTGCCGCACATCTCGAACAACTTTAATTGTTCCATCATACATCTTCAATTTGATGGTTCCCACACTAACGATCTCCAAGGCATGATCATTGCAACTATACACAGATCCTCCTGAGACAGGTTCATAATGATGAAACCATTCTCTTCTTGAGGTCATGTGATATGTTGCTCCAGAATCAATGAGCCATATATCTGCAAATCTTTTTCTGCCTTCCACGGTGGTTGACGCTTCACAGCATAAAGCATATCCATCATCTGAAGTGTTTGCGGTATTGCCTTGTGGATTGGAGTTTTTATTTAGACTCCAACAATCCTTCTTCAAGTGACCATTCTTTCCACAGTTGTAGCACTTTAAATTCTTCTTGCTTCTCGACTTCGATCTACCATGTTTGTGACTACTGCTTTGGCCACGTTCTGTTGATCTCCCTCTCATCGTTGTCATCGTTGTTAACGCTTTTGCTTGTTGCAGATTTACTTGTCTGTCTTCTTTGTTCATGCGCCGATTTTCTTCTTGTAGAACAACAACTGCAACGTCATCAAAGACTAGACTGGTGACATTACTGTTTGTCAAGTTGATGATGAGTTGATCATACGAATCCGGTAGACTTTGAAGTAGAAGTTCAGCACGTTCTTGTTCTCCTATTTTACAGCTTAAAGATATAAGCTGAGAAAATAAATTGTTCAGTGTATTTAAGTGCTCTGTCACTGAAGTAGATTCTGGCATACGGAGAGTGTACAATTTTCTCTTAAGGAAAATTTTATTGTGCAGCGATGTGGCCTCGTACAGTTTGGTAAGATGATCCCATATCTTCTTAGCTGTCTTCTTCTCCTCAATGCTTGACAATACTTCATCTCCTAATGCTAGATGAAAGTTTGCCATAGCATTCCCATCCATCTCGTTCCATTTGTTGTCATCTATGAAATCCACTGGCCTTTCACTGATAGCTACTAGACAACCGTCTTTCCTCAAGATGACCTTCATCTTTAATTTCCACAATGAGAAATTTCTCCCATTGAATTTTTCAATATCAAATTTCGTTGCCATAACTTCTTTTACGGATAGCTCCAACTATTTCACTATCGTGAATAGTTCTCTGGAACCTTCAAAGAATGGGTAATAACTTCTTACTTTCTTATGTTGGAGGATCCACCTTTTGGTGGCAACCACAAAGACAATAAGCAGATATTACACAATCTAATCTGGTTCGGATACCAATTGTTGCGAAAGACAGCTATCGGATAGAGTAAAATCGCAACTAATAATTTGAGAAAATAAAAAATGAAGATAAAAGAGACACAAAATTTACGTGGAAAACCCCTAAATAATATAGGGTAAAAACCACGGGCAACGGTAAAAGAATTTCACTATGAGAAAAATAGGAATTACAACCTCTCTCGATCTACAAAGGAGAAAACAATGATAATTCTCTCTTGATAAAAAGGAGAAAACAACTCTCAAGAAACTCTCTAAATTCTCTCTAGTATTGGAAGAAAGCTAGAATGCTTTGGGATGATTTTGAAGCTAAATGAGGTAGGGTATTTATAGTTGAAGCTTTAAGGACTAATTTGTAAATACCCTAAATTACAATGACTAATTGCATAGTTTTACCATCCAAAAATTTCCACAATTTGGTGGTCAAATTTGACAAATTTTGCCGCCCCATTAATGCCACCAAATTGCCACTCATAATGTTGACTAATGATGCAATTTGATGTGTCAATTTTCAATAGAAAATGGGTCATCCTAGAGCTACTGCCATTTAGGCAATCCGGATATTCGACCCCCCAGAAAAAAAAAATATTCTCAAGTAAGTTATGCAGACAAAGGCATCACTCTTTACTCTATTCTGCAGACCAGCCAAAATCGTCTGTTACTAGATTTCAGCTGCTCATTCTTCAGCGTGTTGAAGAATTATATATAAAAACGTTGTTGTGCTTTTAGCATCTTTTAAGAGAAGATCTAAAAAGCAACACTTGAAGGCATAATCAAGGTAAAAACAGTGGCCTAAAAGTGTATCGGCCATGTAAATTAGTAAGCCATCCAGAGCTTGATGTTTTACATGTTTTATATTTATGACTACAAATCTCAAGACAAATAGATCCTCTACTGGCCTTTGCTTGTCTGGGAACATAACATCTTTCATTCCACATAAGCTAGAAAGGGAGGAGGCGAAATTAAAATAATACCTGCTTCTCAGAGCTTGTGCTCTCAATTATGTCACCACCTCCTGAAGTAGCGTTCAAGCCTGTATTCCTGCAACATAGAATGTAGCGGCACAAAATTTTTGTTACGATAATAATGACATTAGCGCAAAAGGAAATCGAGGATTACCAACATCAGGCTACCTTTCATGCATAAAAATGGCCTGCTTATCTGGAGCAATGGAACCGGGAACTCCTCTGTCTGCAGATTGAAAATTTCGCTCTCCCTATACGAAGAATCGTGAATATTATCTGCAAAAGAAGTCACTAGATAAATCAAACAAAGCCAGAAAGGGACTTACATCAGAATTGTCTTCCATCCACCCTGGAACTTTGTCTGAAAGAAGGGTAACATACTTCTCCATAGCTGCCTCTGGGTTCATGTTCCCCAGCCTCTGCCAAGCATTCCTTGCACAATGCAAGCAGTGCTGTCCATCACTCATACATAGAAGCTGTCAACCCTGTTATTATAACTACCAATCAAGCTATACCGTGTAATTTGGTATAGGCTAGGCTCTAATGTATTTCATACTCCAGTTTTGTTTACTAAGTTCGACAAAATCTCCCGGTTATAGAGGCCAATCCTAATTCAACCACTATAGAAACTCTAATGATTTGTGCCATTTCAGATAGCTATAGCTATTGCTATATGAGGCTTATCTATAAGAAGAACACACGCGCGCAAAAGGACAATGCTTAATTATGTCAAATGATGACCATGTTATTCCCAACTACCCTTCTACTGGTTGATTATGATAAATGGGAACAAATGACCAACAATATAAGCTTCCCCATCTTGTTTACCATCTCATTTACTTAAGTTTTCTCAAAATTGACCAACTTTTAACTTGCTAAATTGTTTAAACTTCAAATATTACTTGGTGGTTTTACCAAACGATCTAACTTTTATCTTCTCTAACATATTAACAAACATTAATTGTGCTTTAATCTATTGGAAAATCGATCTTTTGTCTTCCACAATGACACAAGAGAGACATTTAAACCTAAGAAAGTAAAGTATAACCATCTACTTTCAACACCAACCAAAATGATATTGCAAAAGAAAGAAGAAAAATCAAATCAATAAACAGTAAAATATTAGATACGGGGAAATTTAGCTACCATTTGGAGCGAGAAGAAGCCATGAAAGCCATTGGCTGAGGCTCACGACAAGGCCCTTCTGTTGCAATCTTGTGGAGTCCATAAAGTTCCATTTGAAAATCATTACTCGTACCCAAATCCCCGTAATCCTCAATGAACTTGGCAGCTGCTGCAAAAACCTTATCCAATTCACTCTTCTCTATCCCTTCCCAATCATCGTCGTCGTCATCATCACCATTCTCTATTTTCACTTTCTTTTCTTCTTCTCCTAGCCCCTTCATTTGACTCTGCACTTTGGTTTCTTTTTCAGCCTCTGTTTCTTCACCAATATTTTCAATCTTCTTTTCGAGAAGAATCTCATCGAGTTTCAACTCATCCACCCTGGCTTGTTCGGCTCCAAGATCATCGACTTTCTTGGCTGTTTCTTGCACAAATTCAACTTCCTTGCCACTTTCAAAGCCTTCAACTTTCGATACGGCTTCAAACTGATCTTCTACCTTTTCACTGCTTTCTTCAACTTTCTTCTCACTTTTAAAACCCTGATCATCAACCCCAGCTTGTTCTGATTCAAAAACATCAACCTTATTATCACCGCATTCCTTAACCAAATCAACTTTCTTTTCACTTTCAGTTCGCTGTGCTTTCAATTTGTGAGAGAATTCAAACTCTTGCATGATAATCGCATCATCAGCATCAGTCACAGGCTTTCCATCCACGCCAGAAACAGAGGCACCAGCCCCAGTAGCCAAAGAAACAATCTTGGCTATCAAGAAGGAAAGAGCAAGGGCAATAAAAGCTGTCAGAAAGAGCTCCATGATGATTATAGCAAATAAAACGCAAAACCCGAAGACTAAAACGGAAGAAACAATATGATTAATGGGAAACAAAGTGGGTTATCGATTAAATGCACTAATATAGATAAGAGACTTTCGGAGCAAGAAATGTGATATAAAATAGGAAAAAGAGGGTTAGAAGGAGATTGAGCAAAGCATATTCGGCTTTGAGGAGGCTGGACAGTATTGGGATCTTCTATGGTGGCGGAAGTGGGGCCCTTAAGTAGCTGACAACATTTGTTAAGTCACGGAGTTCTTTTTAGGATAAACTATATATTTAGTACCTCAATTATTATTTGTATTCGGTTTTAGTCATTCAACTATTTAAAAAAAATCATACTTAATATTTAATTTATATTTCATTTTGATCGTTAAGAAATTATTGGTGATACTAACATATCATCATAAGATAATATCACGTCATCATTAAAAAATAAAAATATCATATTAATAATTCTGTTAATTTTTTTAATAATAAATAACAAAAATAAAATCAAAACGTAATGTTGAGTATATTTAAAAAAATAGAGTTTAGTGACAAAAACGAAATACAAGTAATATTTGATGTACAAAATATGTAGTTTACCCTCTTTTTATTTTTTAATGAGAAAAAAATAATTGAGCCTCCAAATTTGAGCTGACATGTCGACAGTCTGCGTTTAAATTTGAGTTTTCCCCATTCTCATGAATGGCGCGTGTCACTACAACAATATTTCTTGCTTTCCTCGTGTATTTCTTCCCATGTTTTTTTATTAGATTCAAGTTGAAAAGGATGTGGTCCAATTATAGTTTAAATCCGCCACCAGACACCCTCTTAAAACAATGTTTCTGTTCACACTTACATCACATGCCTTCGTAAATATTGTTTTTGCCTAACCTATCCTCTTATCTATATATATCTATGTATCTATCTTCACTTCACTTTTCAGATAAATGAGGTGGACAAATAAGTGGGATACATCTCTCCGGCTTTTCGTATTTATATCTACGACATGCACAACCCTCTTGTCAATTAGGGATGAAAGGAGGGGTGTAGAGGTGGTTATACCCTAAATTTTTTAAATTCTTTTATAGTTTAAATATTTTTTTTATATTTTATATGAATTATTTAATTTATACCTTTGAAATTTTAATATAATTTTTTATGTTTTCATCCCCTTACATACGTCTCTATAACGTCAATCAGAACTCCCTCATTTAATGACCTCCCTTTAGCCTTTCGATCTTCATAACTTTCCAACACCCAACATAACGGCTCTCTACCAACATCAATTGAGGTGAATCACTCTAAACCAATATGTCCTATTTATACCATTTATATTTTTATATGATAAACATGAAACATATTTTTACAAATGAAAATCAGTCGATATGATCAACATTGAACGAACAACTCAATATATTGATCTCTTGAGCTATGACCAAAAAATATTGAAGTCGTAACAAGATCATTAAGATCAAGAAGACAAAAAAATAATAAGTCTGAGTAATTGGAACCTAAAAAGGTGTAAAATTAAAAGAATTTTACACCATGTAATTATATCTTATTCATATATATAATATAAATGTTTATGTATTAAAATTTATAATTATGAGAACATATTATAATGTATATTGTTATCATAAAATATGATATAAATTAAGTGTCCAATTATACTATAAAGTCATAAAATATTAGAAGTGTTATGACAATAAAGTGTGGATACCATTAAAGTTGCATTTATAATTTGATGAGGGGTAGAGTTATAAGTACATATAATAATTAATTCTATAAGTACAAATAATAACTGATTCTTAAATCGGATATCAAAGGGGTTATGGTCCCCAAGAAATAAATTATCTCGTATTTGTTATTATCCCATCATAGAGCTTATACTCAACAGAAATTTATCTTCTTGGAATATAAAAAAAAAAAAAAAGATTCAAGGATTTTAAACTATCTATTAATCCATGTATGTTTATGCAAATCTAGTATTTCTTGTTATTGATGATTTGACATGATTTGATCCTGGTTTATTTTCATAATTATTATAGTTTTGCTCTAACAAGTGGTATCATCACCTCATCATGTTCAATTATTTAGAATTCATTGATTTATTTTTTGGATTGATTCATTCTTAATATTTTTTTGTGGATTTACTATAAATCTTTAATTTTGTGCTTTTATATCTTTATAGAATTAGAAATATAAGCAGATTTATGAACAACATATATTCGTCAATTTAAAAAATCCAAAATTAGCAATTTAATAGTTGGATAATTTCATGCGATTTTCCTATCTGCTTTAACTTTGCTGTTGCTATATCCTTGCAAAGTTTTTGAAATTCTGATTGTTACTATTAAGGTTTTAAATTTTCTGCATATTTTTATAATAAAAAATTATTTTTGATAATCTTCTTAATTTATTAATTCCATGTTAACATATTTATTTGGGTTAAAAATAGGAATTTCTTATATTGAATCATCGTGTCACTTTTTTGTGTTTCTCTATCACTATGGTTTCGATTGTTTTGATGATTCCATCATTAAAATAATTTTAGATATATTTTATATGAAATTTCTTTCTACCGCACAAATTTACCTTGTGTTTTTAATTTTATGAATGGCATAATTCATACTGGATTATTCATAATGTAGTTATAATATTAATCACAATCAGTATATATTATTTTAATTTGGTTTTTGTTTCTTGAATCGTGTTTTGGTTTAAATTGGTGAATCATTGATTAAGAAATTTCTGAGTAATAGTAAAATCTTTAAGTTTTCAGTTTCTAATAACGTCGTTTATACAACCTTATTATTGGTTACTTTGGAAATCATGACGTGATTAGAAAATTCAATTTTTTTTACTATTATGGATTATAAAACATATATTTAGTATTGATATATTTTATTCAATTTGATTAAAGATTTAAGTCATTGATATGTACTTTGATTTAAATTTTTGGAAAAATATTGAATATTTTGAATTCGGTTTATATTTGATAGTTTATGAAGTTATGCTTTAAATGCATGTTTAAGGAATTTTTTAAAAACAATCAAAGACTCAAAGACTTGAGTTTCCGATTTTTTGTAGCACCATTTATGTTACCTTATTTCGGTTTATTTCTAATATTGTTGTGCAATCAGAAATTTTAGTTTTGGCCTTTGATTGTTATAGAAATATTAATTTTGAATACTAATTTTGAGACAGTTTAATTAAATAACCCCAGTTATGGAAAAATATTTGATCTTCAAAATATAAATATTATGTACATGTAACTTAGGATATGTTAGTATTGATCGACCCAAATGAAGATTAATAGTTTACATAATCGTATGTACAACTTTAATGATAAGTATGTGATAATTATTTTGTTTGTTGTGTGAGTAATAAATCGACCCAAAGAAAGATTTTTGCTTGACATGTTCTTATTATCAATATTTTATTACCACACAAAATATCACTTAAGGTGAATATTTTGTCTAAAGATAAAATATTAATGAAACATTTGATATCTTGAGATAAGGCTTAAGTGTATTCAAATTTATTATTATATTGGTTATCTTTTAATTGAAAGATAAAATTAAGAGAAATTGATTGGTTGACAATATTTATATGGTTTTATTTATATTGTTAATGTGTATATATATTCAATTCAATTTTTCAATTTTATTTTTTGGTTAATATAATATATATATTTTGAAACAAATTAATTAATATTGTGGTTATGTCTGACATTTTGATAGATTAGTTGAAATATAATGCCGCCAAAGTGATCTTTTCTGTGTAGATTGATTTATTTAAAATATCAATATTATTATGTGTTTCTTGTGATTCATTCGTTTATTAATTGGCCCAAAGAAAAGTTAACATTTGACATGATTTCAAGCGACACATGTGGTAATAATATGTGACAATTATAAGGTATTTATGTGAGCATTACATTAGTCCAAAGATTACTTTATTATTCAACATAACTTATTTTCAATGTTTCATTACTGCAACAAGAGTATCGTTTGTTGTTAGTATTATTGTCCAAAGACTTGACATTAATGTAGCGTTTGGTATCTTGAGATGAGAATTAGCCATTATTTTGAATTTATTGCTTGCTTGTGTGATCTTGTTGTTATTTTGTTCATCTAGTTCTTTTGTTATCACAGTTTCTTCTAATATCAATTTTATTATCATGCTTGATGAGATAAATTTGAAGTTATTAAAAAACTCACTTACATAAGGTTTTGGTTGTATAAACATAGACTTTGCAATAAGGAAAGAACAATTTCCATCTCTCATGGGGATAACATCCTTAATTGGTATAAGAGATTTTGAGAGGTTAATTTTTTTTTCAAATTGCATGACTCTATTGGTCATTGAACACGACATTTTAGAAGCTTTTAGGGGCACATAATCTAAGAAGATTACTTAAGCCAATGGTTTCCTTGACGAAATTGAAAAATGTTTTTCCAAAAAAAAAAAAGGTTTAAATGACATAAGTTTTAATTTTAGTAACACTTCCTATTGGGGTTTAATCAACTCAAAGGGAGAAATGAACTCTAAATGAGCTCATTTTTCATTGTGTGCAAGAGGAAAAAAAGGTTGAAGCATAGTAAGTTTAAAAGTACTCATTTGAAACGTGCATATAAATATAAGGTAAAAAAATAGGATGCAGTTGTCAAGTGTCTAACTCAGTAGAGACAACACTATATTATAAAGAGTTGTTCTCTTTTATAATAAGTTAGGATATATGAGGATAAATTGAATTTTAAAATGTAAGAACCTACTTTGACCGAGCAATTTAGGGGTTATAAGTTTGATCACATGATTAAGAATATTTTTAAGATGAGATCTATAACATTATTTTTGAGGATGTTTAGTTTGGAAGGGGAAATAAGGTTTAAGAAATTGATTCGAAGGAGGAATTGGATTATAACTAAATTCTTATTATCACTTTTGATGATATATATGTGTTCATACATGTCGTTAATCAAGAAGTGAATATAGAATCTCAACAAGATTATTTCTGAACAAAACTTCCATTTAAGATGAGAAATTATTACGGAAGAATAAA